GTATGTACGATTTGGCATTATATTCATTAAATAAAACAAGTAAAATAAAAAAAATAAATGGAAACTGATTAAATATGGTCAGGCCCTAAGGTGACATTTCCCAAACTTTGCTCCATGCCCTAAATTCATAATTACGGAATACTAATTCATCTTAAAGAAATAATAGTTTGTTTTTATGAAATAAAATTCGTAATTACTGTACGAAATATTAATTCGTTTTTACGAGATATTTAGTATTAATTCACACTACGAAATATTAATTCATACTACGAAATATTAATTCGTTTTTACGATATATTCATTCGTATTAACAAAATAATCATTCGTTTGTACTAAATAATAATTTGTTTTTACGAAATGTTAATTCTTTTTACGAACTATCAATTCGTAACTACGAGATATTAATTCGTTTTTACGAAACATTAATTCGTTTTTACCAAATATTAATTCAAAAATCTTTTTGAAGGTCATTGTAAACTTGACAAAAAATCCTACTAAACTCACAATCAAATGTGGTCATTTAAAAGCCTTGATCAACCTTGTCCCCAAATATAACGATTATGAGCCGAATGGTTTTCAAGTTTTTATGTTTGAGTTAACCAAGGTTTTCTTTGGTAAGAAGTCATTCTCAATCCTCAATATCCTCTTTTTACCCATTTTCAAATACATATTCCCATCAGTTGGCAAAACTAAAAATGTTATAATTTTTGAGACAATTAATCATTCCTAAAAAAAGAAACATGCTATATTATTACTTTCTCTTGTCATACACATGAGTAAAACTTTAAAACATATCAAAATTTTCCTAGCGCATGTATTATCACGGCTATTGCGGCAACTCAAACAAGAGTCGATTTTTAAAAATTTATTTAGCGTCCGCGAAGTAGCGCGGCGCTCTTTATGGAATGAAACCAGATTTTGTGAAAGGGCAATTGCAACTTCTCGGATTATCAAAAATGAAATGTCGCAATATGTACAATGAATAGCGAACTGGAGGATTTCTCAATGCAAACATATTCAAAATTAAATTATCTTAGTGCTCTTCGTTTTTTTATTAAACATTTTGTAGTACACGGTGGGTTATTATGTTCTTTATTGCTGTGCCTATAAATATAATTTTGACCTTAATATTGTGAAAGTTCGAAAATTTATTTATAGAAGTAATTTTAGTTTAACGAAACGGTCATTCGTGTCGCGCTATGGTAATAAATAACAAACTGGAGAATTTTGCAGGAAATGAAATGCAAACATATTGCATTCCTTATCAATCTATACAAAAAAATTAAGTAGGCCTTTTTAAGAATTGTTATATCATAGTATTGTCACTTTGAAATTGTCTTTTCCGTAGGTTCTTTCGCGTTTTCTTTTTTACGGCCCTGATTGCTCTTAAGACATTTTTACCGTGAATATTTAAATAGACATAGTTCATAACTTTAAATGTCGCTTTTCCGACAGTTAACAGGTCTATATAAAACCTCTTCGCTGTTCAAGTTTCTTTAGCTAAAATCTACCCTGATTTTCCGGATTTTTGCTGTTCTATATTTTGTATGAAGGCAATCGATTTTAAGGTAGTTTGATTGGAATGTTGATTTGCCGAATATTGTGACATTTTAACAACAGAAAATTTCGTCTGCAATTTTACCTTTAGTTGTAATGGGTTTATTGTAAGGTTGTAAACACACACTGGTGGGTCAGAAGAGGTTTTTGAAGTAATTCATTAAAATAGTAGATTGACCTCCCAATTAATCAATTAACAGTCTTTGTTCAATTTGACAACTACTTCGTATGTTCTAAAGAAAATACCGCATGAACTTGAAATTCTATCAAATAACCAATATTAAAGATAATATACAAAAATACCCCCTAAATCGTATAAATAACTTATACCATATGGGGGTTTATTTTGGATATTATAGACCTGTATATTTTGGAAATTAATGTTAATATTGATAGAATTACAAGTTCCTGTGGAAAAAAAAATAATTTTCTAATCTCTAGCATGCCTACCAAAGTTCATGATGAACAATGTCTTTCGTCCTTCCATTCATAAATGATATACAATTCTGGTAAAAACCAATTAACTATTGAAAAGTTTATAAGAATATCTGGCCAACAAATGTCTACATTTTCATCTTTATTTGCTGCATGTCTTGCTTGGACGCCGTCTGATGCTTTCCATCATTGCTTTTCTTGTAGACAGTACTGTTCTACCGTCGCGTTAAGGTATTCACGAATTCGAAAACCTAGCTAAATGCCGTTTCCCGGTATTTTCTGAAATTCACCTAATGGAGTGTAATAATGAACTCTATGTTTTGCCTTTTTTAATAAAAGGGAAATAAAAACAGTTATTTCTTTGTTAATAAATATTAAGTAAATATAATTGTATGAATAACTCAAGACAAAGAACTAAAGTAAATACACAAATTAACACAGAGAATATTCTCTTTTTATAATGGAAGATGCCACTAAGACTTTTTTGGTTTTATTGAATTTCATTATCAGCAATTTATCTTTTTCATATTTGCTATAGATATCAAAGGAATATCGATAATTTTCAAACACATCTATTTTTTCTCAATAAACGGTAAAATAATGATAGAAAAATAGAAATTCCGTCCGTCCGTCACACTTCAGGTGTCTGGTCCATAACTTTGTCATTTATCAAACGTTTTTGAAATACCTTTGCATAAATGTTTTTCATAATAAGACGATGTGTCATCCGCAACAACCAGACCCCTACCTTCAGGGTCAAGGTCGCATTTGCTCAATTAAGGTCAACATTGTCTCTTTCAGGGTATATGTCGTTTCCGGTCCATAACTTTCTTATCTTTGAAGGAATTTTGTAAATACTTGCCACAATTGTTTACAATAATGAGACAATGTGTCATGCATATCAACCGGTCACCTACTTCTAAGGTCAAGGTCACACTTGGAGGTCATAGTTATGTTATATACTTTGTGTCCAGTACATTTTTCATAGATCAAAGGATAAAAATACTTGGCACAAATAGTCACTAAAATAAGACGATGTGTCATGCGCAACACCTGCATCCTTACCTCCAAGGTCAAGGTCACAATTAGAGGTCAAAAATTAACAGTCTGTGATAGGGTATAATTTGTGTCCGATCTAGAACTTACTTCTTCATAGTTCACGGGATTTGGATAAATTGGCACAAATGGTCACAATAATAAGACGATATGTCAAGTACAACATCTGCATCCCTACCGCCAAGGTCAAGGTCACAATTAGAGGTCATAGGTTAACAGAGTTTGTTATATGGTATATTTTGTGTCCCGTCCATAACTTCTTCATACATCAAGGGATTTTGAAAATACTTGGTACAAAAAGTCACAATGATTACATGATATGTCATGCGTAACACCTGTGTCCCTACCTCCAAGGTCAAGGTCACACTAAGAGATCAAAGCTTAGCATGGTAGATTTTTAAATTCCGTGTTTCATTTAATTTCTTTAATAAATTTATTTTTGCATTTGAAGATCTAGCATTGATCTTAATTTTGGACTAAACGTCTTTAGATCCATACCTTAATCTTTTGAAATAGCACAATTTTATGCTTCATATTAAACTTCCCTGAGGCGGGGGACGTTGGTTACAAATTCTTGTTGCTTTATGAACTTCCTTTAGTGTAACTCCCCAGAGATAAATAGGAAACATACCGGAAAACGGTGTAAAAAGCTGTAAAAAGTTGCCCCGTACTTCATTTCAGCGTTGTCATATTTTTCTGGTCCTTGGGGATCATTGATGCCAGCACTATTAAGTGTTGAGAACTGAGTATTGCTCAAGCCGGTGTTAGGGGGCTTGAGGGTTGTTGCACGTATTCATTATCCATTATGTACAGACTTAATCAAACCCAGTCTGCAATTTTATTGTAATTTTGTTGTGATTAATGCTTTCGACAGATAACTTTGTTTCCAGATTTTTATACTTCACAACAGCAGGTGTCAAGTGATGTGTGGCAGCTGTAAAACGTTGCCCCGTACTTCATTTCAGTGTTGGTTACAAATTCTTGTTGTTTTATGAACTTCCTTTAGTGTAATTCCCCAGAGTTAAATAGGAAACATACCGGAAAACGGTGTAAAAAGCTGTAAAAAGTTGCTTCGTACTTCATTTCAGTGTTGTTATATTTTTCTGGTCCTTCGGGATCATTGATTCCAGCACTTTTAAGTGTTGAGAATTGAGTACCGCTCAAGCCAGTGATAGGGGACGTGAGGGATGTTGCACGTTTACATTATCCCTCATGTAAAGACTCAATCAAACCGAGTCTGCAATTCTATTGTTATTTTGTTGTGATTCATGCTTCCGATGGATCACTTTGTTTCCAGATTTTTAGCTAGGTTTTCGAAAAGGTCAATACAACTTAGGAAGGGAAAAAACACTATTTATACCAGGTTTCATGTCTTAAATTTAGACAGGAACTTAGTTTAAAGCCTTTTTTATTGTTTTTACCAAACCCCTTTAAAACCCTTTAAAAATATTCATTCGTTTTTAAGATATATTGTTTCTTATTTACGAATTACGAAATAATATTTCGTTTTTTTTTATTTTTTAAATAACATTTCGTTTTTACGAATAAATATTTCTTAATTACGAAATAACATTTCGTAACAACAAATTTATATTTCGTTATAACGAATTATTATTTCGTATCTAAAAATTAAAATTTCGTAAAAACGAATTAAGTCCCGGGAAATAAGTGTGAAAAATGTCACCTAAGGGTATGTTTGTAATATGTATATTAATATGTATGTTACATAAAAGATTTATCATAGATAAACACCCACATACATATGCAATAGTGGTTTTGCATGAGCGAAATACCGAGCAGGAATATAGCACTGGCAGAATGTGATATTTCACCTAATGGATAAATAATATATTAAAAAAAAAAAATATGTATCTCGTAAAAATTTCACTTAACGTGCAAATTCAATATCTACAGCTCAGAATTGTACTATTAAAATACAAAAGCGTACTTACCACTTTTGCAAAATAAATGGAAATATTTGTCGCATCCAAACCACCATCGATTTTTACCAGTATTCTGAAAAACAAAGCACTTTCCACCATCGTCATCGCTGCTTTTTACATATATATCTAAAATGACAAAGAAGAAATACATAAAATGTGAAGGTAATATAAAAAGATTCATGAATCATTTATTAACGAAAAAGTTCAAAACTTTAAAAAATATTTTATGAAGACTTGTATTTCTCATAAAAGTTAATTGAAGAAAAGGTTTTAGACTAACATGAGTAAAATTTATGCTTGAATTGTCATGAAAATAAGTACAAAAAAGATAAACCAAACTAATAAATTAAAATCGATACTTAAGAAGACATGCTATATGGGACTCAAAATGAGACTTTTTGTACCTGTATTCATCTTTTCGTATATTGACATATAATCATCACCTCCACCAGCCATCCAAGTTCCATTAGGTGAAATATCACATTTTGCTAGTGATATAGTCTTGCTCGGTATTTCGCTCATGCAAAAACACTATTGTATTAAAAAATATAAAGCTTTTATAGCAGTTATTTTAATTTTAAGTTTTATCGAAACCAAATATAAAGTGCTGTTTAGAAAACCCGCTGTCCATTCTTTCAGCATAATGTAGTTCGAAAAATAAGTTTGAAAATTTTAGTATCTTATTTAGTTTTCATGTATTTTAAGGATTATATATTTTTTTTATATAATTTGCTTCTGTTCTATCCTAAGTCTAAATACCTACCTTGTCTTTGTTTAACGCAATGAACTTTTTCTCAGATTTATCACACAAAGAATAGCAAAGACCAGGTGTTTTTCTCGAATGAGGCAACAGGATGTTTGTATCTGAACTGTTTATATGTCCACATCCTGAAATAAATAACAACTTTTGTTTGAGCTTTCACGGTGTTTTAATTGACATGTAATTATGACGGGTAACTTACTTAACATTGACTTATAAAACAATTGAGGTTTTGGTAACGATTTGTATGTTTTGTTTAAATTGCTTTCTGGTTCTTCAACCTCGAAGGTCCATGTCTTCATGTTGGTATGGGAAAACTGTCAGTTGGTTTTCAGTAAGTAAGTGATTTTCTTAACTGATTAAAGTTAGGTTTCTTTCATTAATATTTTCATTTGTTTACGTTTGAGTATAAATGACAAATCTTAGATTCTAGAATTTAATATTATTAAGTAGTAATTAGAATTTTCTGTAATATATGAATATAAGAAATGTTAAAATACGATTGCAACTAGAACTTGTAATTTTGTTGTGATTAATGCTTCCGAGGGATCACTTTGTTTCCAGATTTTTAAATTGTTCAATATTGCGAAAACAAACTCGAAAAATGAAGATTATCGAGTAGAGACATACATGTTAGCTTTACATTTATACAACATTTACTTTATCTACTCGTATACTGAAATATAGAAATGGTTGAGAGATGAAAGGAGAATTCCAATGAAATACGGTCTTATATAAAGAATCGTTGTCTCATCGGCATTGGCTGTAAAGAGATTTTTTAAAAAATCTGTTCTGAATATGGACGAAATAAAATGTATTTTTCATCAATTATTCGTTGGTTTAATAAATTCAAATATAGGTTATTTTTCGCCAATGTCCGTCTGCCCTAAACAGCAACGACTGTCAGGATGGTTGCAAAAGTAAAATAAATAGCTAACACTGTTGTAAGATACAGCACTGGGTAATGAGCTAATGTCGTTGGCATCTCGTAAGGAGCAGCTCATACGATTCTCAAACGTGATCTTTGAAAATTAAAAAATATGTGCTAGATGGATTTCCCATTTGCTGACAAATGAGCAGAAAAAGGCTTGCGTGTATAGTATTAAATTGTTTGTTGATTAAATAATACAATACACGCTCCTATGCAAATGTCGTCACTGTTGACGAAACATGACTTAAGTTTTATGTGTCAACACCGAATCAAGATTTGGGCCACAAAAGACCATGTGTAGCTAAAAGGACCATCAGTATAAAGAAGGTAATGCATGTGATTTTCTTTACAACTCAGGGTTCTACCATTCAGGTTCCTCTGTTTCTGAAGATACATCTGTTGCTGAGAAACTTTATAAGACAATTTATTTTCGACAACTATACAAATACTTCCAAAACGAAGACCTGCAACAAGTTTGGCCAGTGTCAGACGCGTCATTGCACAAGGCGTCTACAATGCAATATATTCTAAAACAGAAAATAAAGTTGTTGTGCTCATCAATCCTACGTAAACTAATAAGCTTACCCCTTATTTCCAAAGCTAAAATAATACCTTTCAGGTTGAGAATTTGTTCAGCACAAACACCCCAGTTCTGCAATATTTCAGTGTTCTATCTTCATAGTAAACAGACAATAAAATGCTTTCAAAGATTAGAACTGGGGATATATGTTACAAGTGAATATTTTGAGGGAACAAAATGACCAATTTAGTGAAACATACAAAGAATAAAATTATACGTGCTTAGATGCGTTTATATTTGAACACTCTTTATACTGAGTAATCGTTTCTTGTATCACTATGTATATAATCAGTATTTACCAATGTACGAAAACGCTGTTTCCTTCTGATAATATCCAACCCATGCTTCTTCATTTTCATTTAGACCAACGTTTGATGATATATTTAAGAACAATGTTGTATTGTTCACTTTTATGGTAGGTGTTGCCATATTGCCTCTTTCCTTTGCTTTAGGCCACGTGAAATTTTCGATTGATAGGTCATTCTGAGCTGAAACTGTGTAATATATAGTTATTTAAAGATACGAGTATAAGTATAAATATTTGAAAATTTCAATTACTTCCTAAATATTCACGTGTGACCATACTAGTCCTATCTATCTAGAGAATGACTTTGAAAATGTATAAAAACTGTACACTACAATCTATGACATGTTATATAAAACTTTATAATAACATTGTTTTCGTTTGACAGTTTCACTAAAAATCACTTTTTAACACATATTATCATGATTACAGTTTAACAAAATATGCAGGTTAACGATGAGTACGTGCAGTTCCCGCTTTTTCATAAATTTACTGATATCATTCATTCAATGTAGATATAGACATATATTTTACCGATTTGGGACACTCGAAATGCATGAAGTAGGCTTATTTGGAGAAAAATCACTTAAATTCAGATCAGAGTAGAGAGGAAGAAAATTGAACAAAAACTATATTATAACAATTACAGTTTACAGGATTTGGCCCTTGACTAGACCGAACTATGTGCCTGGCTTTCTTACGTTTTCGCATTTGATAGAGAAAATGTGTGTGTACGAACAGTCATTATGTATGAGATGCATGCATTTCAAAAATGTATCTTCTATTGTCTGTATCTTATTTGTAAGTCTTAGTTATACCGCTGAACAATATTTTATACTTCCGCTTTAGTATGGCCCTTGTGATTAATGAATTAAGTGAGCTTGCTTAAATTTTGACAACCTCATTAGGTAAAATCATTTTCGGAAAGATACATACGTAATATAAGGCCTCTTTGACAAAAACACCCAGCATAATTTTATACTACATTGCCTTGTTAAGGTGAGCTTTTGGTCTAAAGGGGTATAGGGCTTAACCTTATTGAGATTACCATTTGAGCCAAGTTTAAAGAAATTCCTTAAAGGACTAAAAGAAACTCTTCTAAGGGTATAGGATCTTTAGACCCACTGACGCAACCAAAGTGATTCCAGTAAAGTCCCATCTGCATAATTTAGTGGAGTTATAATTATATTATCCATGATCTCGATTGTGATAGTTTACAAAGAATGTGATAGAAAAATCAGATATAATTTGTTTTATATAGAGGATATTTGTTTAGTTTAGTGTAAGATCGGAATATATTTCACCAAAAGGTATATTTCACGAGTGGTGGAGCCACGAGTGAAATATGAACTAAGTATTTATGAACTAAATGAACTAAGTATTTATGAAATATGAACTAAGTATTTATGAACTTTTGGTGTTCACAAGGTGAAATATATTTCAATCTTACTCTGAACTAAACAAATTTTCTTTTTATTATAATGCAAAAACATATTTAATGAAAAGCGCGCCAAATGATAATACAACTTGACGTCATTTATGACGTCACGTCATTAAGTTGGTTTCCAGTACTGTGAACGCTTGTATTTCACTTAATCAACATAAGGGGCTTAAATTCAAAACAGTGAAATTATCTAATTGATAATTTCACTGTTTAAAGCTCTGAAATTACCAGTTTTTAACTCACAGATATATTTCTATAAACCACCGAAAAGCATGTAAAAATAAGGTTAAAAACTTATCCTGTTAGTGTTCTTTCTAATTACCGCCGATATTTATAAAATGCTTTTGCCAAGTAGTTGATCTCCCAGTTTGAAATAAATTGCTCATGCTACCTCATTTGGGACCCCACTTATCGCTTTTTTGATCGGCAAAGAAAAGGAAAAATCGTTAACCAAACTTTATCATGTCAAAACGTGTTTTGTTTCTTGGCTACAATAGAAGTAAGTGTTCGATTTCTGTCGCGAAGATGGTCTAAATCAAGATTGTTTTCCTGTAAAATTATAAGGTAATATCTGCATGGATAATCATATCCTAATGTATGTTTTATTTTGTATTACCTTGTATTGCAATTCTTAATTTAACAATATGTATTCCTTAAATTCATTTGATTTCACATTTTTATATCATATATTTAAAACATTATTTTGCAAAAACGAAATTATATTATAGTTTGTAGCTGAGGTTAAAAGATACAACTTTTTTTACTTATCGTTAGTATTACACAAATAGGGAATCATTCTGACATAAGGGGTTGCCGGATGAGTCGCGTGCTCTGAAATAACCTCATTTCAGCGCATTTTATGAGAGAACTGCATTCTTATGATGACGTCATTTTGCCGTTATAAATAAAGTATGGAAGATAATGCACACGTGTTTGGGAATCAATTCGAAATATCCGCCCGTGTACTGGTACCATCGGGACAATTTGAAGCGGGTACCGAGCGTTAGTTGTTATCATATGAGCTGGTAATTCTTACAGGCAAAGATATATGTTTTCTCAGGATACTCCGTATTAATGCTTATATAATGATACGCGCTATATCCCTAAGTGTATGAATTTTGACTGCATCTTTCTTGTAGATGTATACAGTTTAAAAAAGTTAAAACGTTGCCATTTTTACGGATTGAAAAATGCAATTATGTCGTCTGTTCATTTTACACTGCATTAACTTGTGACACGATTCGAAAAGTATTATTTACCACAATTTCGTGCATCAGAGTTAAGATTTTATCATAAAATATAGGTAGGTAGATAGGTAAGTGATCTAGACATTATTTTGCCGAACAACTGTTGTATCAATTTTTATCACTACCTAATTACTCATATTTTATTTCATATTTATATTATAATGATACACTTTAATTAACTTTTTGTGTCAGAAATTTAAATGCATTTCTTAAAATACATTCATTATTTGCCTGGTGTCAGAATCGGCGACTGTGTTTTATCTGTATGTTGTTTTGTTTGGGTTTTTTTTTTGTTGTTGTTGTTTTGTTATTTTTTCTAAATCTTTTATCATTTTCATGCAATGTCACTTATACCTTAATTCTTTTTAATCATTTAAGCAATAATCAACTACCTATACTGTGTCGATGTGACGTTAAACCCAAAACAAACAAACAAACAATAATCAACTACCTATACTGTGTCGATGTGACGTTAAACCCAAAACAAACAAACAAACAATAATCAACTATACCTTGATTATAGTACAAAAACTGTGTTTATGTATTTAATTTCAATAAATATACTATTTCATATCAATAATTAACATCCACTTATTGCTTTTAAATTGTACTTTGTGACCGTCTCCAATATATGTTCATGTTGGACGCTGTAGTGTCCAATATGAGAACCATATATTGGGCATTTAAGTGATTATGACCTCTTCAATGTTACGTCAATGACAAAGCCGTTAACCTAAAGAATTTTATTCAAAGCCTCGTTCCGGATAGAATAAAGAGGTTGTTTAACATTATATCAAGTACAATTTGTAAATATACTCATGTCTGGTACTTGGTCTCGCACGTAAAAAACCCGTCGCAATAAGTACGAGTACTTTAACTCGGAAGTATCTGGTTAAATATTTTTGTTATTAAACGATTAATGTATACAATGGTTTAAGCATCGCATCTAATTCAAATTATCTTCTGATGTTACTCAGACAAAACGTCCTTATTAAACTATGCCAGAATTACTTATTTGAAAAAGGAAGAACCACACTACCATTATTATCTCAAAAAAGTGATGTACATGTATATACAACTTTCGGCATTTAAGCACATTTTTCATAAAAAGATATTGTAAGATACAGGTACTGAATAAATTAACATGATTTCTACTTTGTCCTAGTTTAATTACACTTTCCATATCATAACGTAAAACAAATCGTTTTTAAACCTCGCTCTTTACGCTTTAAATGGTTGTATCAATTACTAATTACTATTTTGAAAATTCAATTTTGTATTCATTAATTTTAGTTTATACCTGTTGAAAGTTTATACACATATTTTTTGCTAAGATATCTTACCACCAGCTGCCAAAATCCAAAGAAAAATCCAAAACACACCTAATTGCCGCGACATTTTAAAACTAATCTTATAAAAATATCTTCACAACCATACTCTGACTGTGTTCTTCCTCTTTTAAATGATTAGATAAAAATGTTTTCAAACAGGTAATGATACGCTAAAACAAGGAAGTGAATACATGTAGTTTAAAAACAGTCGAAATAAATACTGCGACTGCATTATCTGCTTTATATGTACCCTAACGATAACAAAATATTTCAGTTGGCAATTACATGTACGTATAGGTGTTTATAATAAAGCATTAATTTTACTTCATTTGGCTTTATCTGTACCCTTACGATAACAAAATATTTCAGTCGGCAATTACATGTACGTATAGGTGTTTATAATAAAGCATTTACGCATTAAATTGGTATAAAACAGCGTGGTTGTGTTTTTTTTAATGAACTGCCGATATACTAAAAGGATTTACCAAAATAACCAAAATAAATGTGTTATGCTGCTATTTTATTGGACAAAAAAGTCTCAAACCCTAATAAGTATTCATGTTCATTTATCTATTATGGCAATAAATTGAAGAATGTTCCTTATTTTGATGAGGTAAATGTTAGAAAAATGCTGCAAATAAAGAGCTTATGTGCAAATTCTGCATTTGTAAGATTCTGCATGATTCTAAATATGCACGGTTCTTAAAATGCATGATTCTAAAAATGCATGATTCTAAATATGGACGGTTCTTAAAATGCATTATTCTAAAAATGGATGATTCTAAATATGCATGATTCTAAATAAGCAAGTTTCTAAATATACACGGTTCTTAATATGAATGATTCAAATATGCATGGTTCTTAATTTGCATGATTCTAAATAAGCAAGATTTAAAATATGCATGACATTAATACATCACTCATTCTTAAGCGATTTCAATATTACATTGAATTTGAATCAAACAAAACTTAAATAAACAGATATAAATCATGTACAAAAATCATGATATGTGACGTACAAAGTTGAAGTAGTTAATTTGCGAGTGAAGTTCAACAAAGGCGATCATAGTGGTTAAGATGTCTGCCTGTAAACCCAGGGATCGTGGGTTCGAGTCATACAGGCCACGACAATAAGTTCTATTCCTCACCAGGCCTGAAGGATATGAAACATTTGTTGAGATTTGTCTTCAAATAAAATTTAAGCTTTATCACCACAATCTCACTCAATATGTATATTGTATGATGTAATGTAAACAAAATATATGAGTTAGAGTGACAAAAGATATAATAAAATCCCGAAATAGATATCTTCTTATAAAACTTGAAATATTGTAATTTGAATGTTTTTTTTTTCATGAAACTCGTCACAGTGAATAATTCGAACAAATCAATGATAAATGATAATTATTTTATTTATTGTCTATTACTATTGTCCCCATATACCTGATTCCATATCCCAGCATTTCAATAAGTTGGCCCATAATACATTTGTTTCATATGCATGTACATTGTACTTGAATAATCGTTATTTGAATTAAGATTGTATTCGGTGAATTAAATAAAACACACTGTGCTACTCGAATGGATATAAAGATTTCTCTTATGAAATATCGTACATATATTGTTTATAATATTGACAACTGTTACGAAACTATTCGATTGACTGATTTATTTAATATCAATATCGAATTTATTAAGCATGAAATACAATGTATTTCTTTATTACGCCATAAAAGGTTTAAACACTGTTAAGACGTTTTCACATGAGGAAGTAAACCTGCGTTTCATAAATATAGATCTCTTTGGAAAAACTATACTGACACGTAAACATAACATTGAATATGAAATGTATGTGTGTAGTCAACAATATGCTTAATAAGGGCCAATCCGCCTGTTAAGGCCCAAAAAAGCAGCTTTCGTTGTAGAGTACCCCGTCAATGTTGCTAGTCATACTCTGATATGATTGTTTTTAATCACATAATTGTGATAATTTACCTCCACACAATTTTAAATGTATAATCCAATGAATGAATCTTGAGCCGAAAAATGCGTCACTGTACAGCGGTCATTGAGCATCTAAATGAACAGTAACCAGTGATAATAATGGAGTATAAAGAAAGTTAGTCCCGAAAGGGCCTGTTTGTGCCAGCATAGGGTGCTGCCGTTCAAGACGTTTCGAAATGGGGGCTTATGCACCCTAGCTACCCTTTCGCGTCGCCTCTGTCACATTTTAGGACCACTCCATTCGGCTTCAGTCACACAATGTACTACAAATTAGGAAGTGAAAAACAAGGAAAGAAGTAAAAGAAGCCCTTCGTATTTTAGAATTAAATGAAAATAAACTTGATATCAATTTTAATTAGTCGTTCATTTTGTAAATTTGTTCAATTTTATTTAAGCGACAGTGTTGATAATGACGTTATGCAAAAATATATCAGTTCAAAGTGACAAAACATTTGATAAAGTAAGATTGAAATTAAATTATGGCTTATCGTTCTTAAAACTCTTTGCAGTGAATAATCTTTTAATATGATAATATTATTCATTATATTATGATGGATTTTAATAAACTCTAATAATACCCAAACTCTACCTTTTCCACCATCACATTTTTGATATAAATAGACCTTTTTCCATTCAAATAACAATAATATTTTACCCAAAATTTTGTTGAATGATTTCAAATTACCCATACTTATTCAATGGATATAAATACACATTAATAAAAGAAATCTTTAATAGGATATCGTTTAAGGTTTTATAGTTGTTAAAATCTCTTTTGCAAAACTATTCCTATGACAGAAATTTCATAAACATATAAATTCGGAAATTTATTTTGCACAAATTTTATGTATGGTGCAATTAAATGTTTTTTCAATACTACTAAGAGTTTAATACTTAAGGAAGTAAACAGTAAAGTTAGACACATTCCTCGGTATTCAATATCTAAAAAGCTAATGCGCAGTAACTTAAACACTTGGGTCATACATATTTACAAACTTTACCTCACCTTATGTTATAATACCGCAGTGTGACTGCACTTAAATAAATCATATTCTATTTTCTTAAAATAATAATGGTGAAAGATATGATATACGGAAGGTTTCATATACAGATAAAAATCAGATAAAGTTTGCTTAAGTATCTCAAGTATAGATCAATGCAAAATGTATCACGCTATGCTACTTATTAATAATGAGATAAGGAATTAATTTCTGAAAATATAACACATACGTGCCCATTCCAATGCAAAACAGTTATTTTTTATGTTTTGGTGGTTATCATTTGAAATGCATTAATTTCTATATAAAATATGATTGTTTTACTGTGCAACACTGCGATTTGTGAACTTAATCCCAACGCGTTATTCTGTTCCGTATTGATTATCTCCCTTGTTTAAGTGCTCATTACGCTCACTAAACTATAAATTCATATGGGTTTAAAATGTTGGAAGAGGAAATGATAAATAAACTAGTTAGATGTCTATCTCAAATACCGATATCATGTTTGAGATATGTGTCTTTGATATTGATTTGTTCGTATAATAAAAGAAATATAACATCTCGAACAGTTTGTTCACCCTTAACAATATTATGTGAGCCTCGGATAGCTCCTCCGTGGACATCATTGACTTGGATGTGTACTCAGTTCCATCACCTTCAGTGTGGTGGAAATTCAAATAATATAAATAACCTTGTATATAACTTTTTTCATATGTTGATATATGATGATGAAATGTAACTCTCTTTTTATGTAAATGTGGCGATAAAACAATTAGGAAAAAGCAATCAAACAAACAAAACATACTCATACATCTAGCGTAATATCTAAGTGTGTGCAATGTTTGTAAATTGCGAATGACAAAAATGCACGATCTTTTTTGTAGAGACAGTTTCCTTAAGATAATCAAATACCTTCCATAATTATACAACTAGTGATTGAGCTTAATGTGTTTTGACCATTTATCATGACAAAAGAAACCAATGTTGACAGCTGTTCTTCCATGCAATACAATTCCTACAGCTGTCCAATGCCGCAACACAACTTTACAGCTGTCCGATACTGCAACACAATATTTACAGCTGTCCAATGCCGCAACACATTTTTTTCGATCGAATTCTTGGTCATATATGGGCAGTTGACCCGCCTAACCGGTTTAACCGGACAACTAACCAGTATTTGAAAAATTCTCGACAAATGATCCAACATGATTTCTGTATTACTAGTACACTTGATGTCCGAGAATAATTGTCATGGAAAAATTTCGCACGAGGATCGAACCTGCACATCCAATGCTGTCCTTATTGCTAGCAGTTACGGCCCAAGCC